CCTCCAACATGCGTCCCAAGAGGGCCCCTAGGCGCAAGAATTGGCCCATTCCCTTCGTAAAACGTACATTTTTAACAAAGTCGCCTTTTGGGCTTTCCGACGTTACAGGACGGCCCAAGAGGCGCCCAAGACCGCCCCAAGACCGCCCAAGAAGTTTCCCAGAGGGCCCCAGGACAGCCCAAGAGGGCCCCAAGACGGCCCAAGAGGCGCCCAAGATGGCCCAAGAGGGCCCCAAGACGGGCCCAAGAGGGGGCCCAGAGGGGGACCACGAACCGCAAGCTCGAGCCTTCCGCCCCAAGAGGCCGCCAGGAGGCCCCCAGGAGGCCCCTCAAGAGGCCCCAGGAGACCCCAGACGTCCAAGGACGCCCCCAAGAGGCCCCAAGAAGCCTCCAACATGCGTCCCAAGAGGGCCCCTAGATGCAAAAATTGGCCCATTCCCTTCGTAAAACGTACATTTTCAACAAAGTTGTCTTTTGGGCTTTCCGACGTTACAGGACGGCCCAAGAGGCGCCCAAGACCGCCCCAAGACGGCCCAAGAAGCTTCCAAGAGGGCCCCAGGACAGCCCAAGAGGGCCCCAAGACGGCCCAAGAGGCGCCCAAGATGGCCCAAGAGGGCCCCAAGACGGGCCCAAGAGGGGGCCCAGAGGGGGACCACGAACCGCAAGCTCGAGCCTTCCGCCCCAAGAGGCCGCCAGGAGGCCATCAGGAGGCCCCTCAAGAGGCCCCAGGAGACCCCAGACGTCCAAGGACGCCCCCAAGACGCTTCGCGTCACCAATTTCTTCTCGCAGCGATTCCTGGGTCTCTGACTCGACAGAACCTAAGCGCGCGAAGCGCGCGCGTGGTTCTAGTACACATATATGTATATACGTTAGCCTGCGTGGATCCCACACTGTGTTTCTAACAAGTTGTGTCGTGCAATCTGTGTGTGGGGGGGGGGGCAAACTGTGCTGTGCAATATCTGTTGTGCAGACTATGTTGTGCAACCTATGTTGACAGTAACAGTGCTGCGATCCATGAGGTGCAATCTATGTTGCTCAAGATATGTGGAGCAACAAATGTGGCGCAATCCATGTGGTGCAATCCATGTGGTGCAACCTTTGGTGTGCAATATATGGTGTGCACTATATAGTGTGCACTCTATGTGGAGCGACATGTGTTACAAGCCATGTGAATCAACCAATACGGCGCTATACCTGTTGTGCAATGTATGCTGCCCAATTTAAACTTTGCCATCTGTCTGGTGCAAACTATGCGATACACTGTAGGTGATGCAGCATAGGTGGAATACTATATGTGGTGTAATCTACGGTGTGCAGCCCATGTTGGGAGATAGATGTGGTGCGATCGATGAGGTATAACACATGTTGTGCAATGTATGTGGGCCAATATATGTGGTGCAATTATGTGGTGGAATCCGAGTTGTGCAACATATGGTATGCAATTTGTGTCGTGCACTCTATGATGAAACATCTATGTGGTGCAATTGACTACCCTGCACCGGGCTTGACCACCTCCTTTGCTCGCGCAAACATCCTACCCACCCACCCGCAACTTGGTTTGCAAAATCTCTTAAGACCGTGACGGTGGGTACCAAATGGCATTTGGCAACGGCAGCGACGCCGACGACGACAGCGACAACGACGACGACGACGCCGCCGACAACGACTGCGACGACACCGACGACGTCTCCAATGACTTCGACGACGCCGACAACGACGACGACGACGACGACACCGACGACGACGCCGACGACGACGACGATGACAACAACGACGACGAAGACGACGCCGACGACGACGAGAACGACGACACCGACGACGACCACGACGACGACGTCAACGACGCCGACGACGACGACGGCGGCGACGACGACGACGACGACGACGGCGGCGACGACGACGACGACGCCGACGTCGACGACGACGAAGACGACGACGACGCCGACGCCGACGACGACGGCGACGACGACGACGACGTCGCCAACGAAGACGACGAGGGAGGAGGGAGGACGACGACGGCGACAACGACGACAACGACGACAACGACGAGGGAGGAGGGAGGACGGCGACGACGCGAACGACGAAGAAGGAGGAAGGACGGCGACGCCGACGACGACAACGACGAGGGAGGAGGGAAGATGACGACGACAACGACGACGACGACGACGGCGGCGACGAAATAACGACGGACGACGACGACGAGGGAGGAGGAGGAAGGACGACCACGGCGACAACGACGACGGAAACGACCACGACGCCAAAGAGGACGACGACACGAGGAAAGACAGAGGACGACGTAGGCGACGACGACGACGCGGGAGGAGGGAGGACGGCGACGACGACGACGACGACGCAAGAGCGCGCGCGCACGCTTTTGTTGAAAATCCGTGTTGCGAAACCCTTGTGTTTTTGTAGGTTTTTGGACGCACAATATTGAAATCCTTCCGAAGCCGATGGGACGAAGTGCAGACGCGCGACGACGCGCGCGTCTGCACTTCGTCCCATTTTTTACAGAGGATTTTCGCGACGGCACACGCGCAAGGGCGTTCGACAGATTTCGACATGCGCACGCGCAAAGCCCGTTTGGTAGCATGTTGTGAACATCTGGTAAAACCTATGGCTTTCTTAAGATTTCGCAAGAGCTCGCGCGTAAGCTTTTTTAGCAAATCAGTGTTGTGAAACCCTGTGTCTTCATATGTTTTTTGGGAACTCGATTGCGAAATTCTTCCGACACCGAAGGTTTTTGGAGGATGTCGGCATGCGCGCGCGACGGCGCGCGCGTGTGCACTTCGTCAATGTTTTTACAAAGGGATTCGTGGGAAAGTGTTATGTTAGATGTCCCCGCGTATCGTTTTTTGTTTACAAGGGAACCTCAGGGGGTTCGATACTGGCCCCCCAGGGATACTGCAAATTCATATTCAGGATGGACATGTGGTCCGAAGAATAATGTATGACTTACATGCCCGAAAGGGGTACGGACAACGCCCAGGGGGGGTAGCGTCGATTCTTTTTTTAGAAAGGAGAATTTGTAGTGTATGACCTATGTGGTGCGCAATGTATGTGGTGCAATATGTACTGCAATCTATGTTGTTCAATTTCTGTTGTGCAATCTAGTGGGGCGGCGACGGCGGCAACAAGAGCGGCGACCGACAAACAGGCCCTGACGACGGGCGGCGACAAGGCGGCGTCGGGCCGAAGACACGACCCAGTCCCTCAGAACAGAAGTAGGAACCTCTATGTGCAAGCACAGTTTAGGGAATGTATGCGTCTCCTGGATCGTGCCATCCGTCCGTCTTGCCATCCACGTCTCCACCTCTTACAGCCTCTCTCTCCCTCTCTCCCCTCTCTTCTCCTCTCCTCTCCTCTCGTATCTTCCTCTCCACTCACTCCCGCTCCCCATCTTGCTGACGGCTTCGGGTCCCGCTTGCGGATGTGCTTGATTGTGGGCCCACCTGTCTCGGCCGCTAGGCCGCTGAGGCTCCTGCTGCCTCTCGGCTTCTGCGCGCTCGCTCCCCATCTTGCCCCCACCCTCTTCCTGCGGCCTTCTCGTGCTGCCCGGCCACCGCCCACCACCACCACCACCATCACCACCACCACCACAGAGCCAAGCATCTGGAAGGACGCGTGGGCAGAAGAACGCGCGATTGGCAATTCTTCGGGGATTGCGGGAAGAGACGAGGAAAACGGAGCGCATCACGACCGTGAAGCAGAAAATGGGGCGCCCGACGGTGAAGCGGAAAACGACCACCGCCCACCGCTGGAAAATCCAGCCGGTGACGCTGCTGCGGTGATCAGCTCCGCCGCTGGAGGGCTGACCACCGCTCGGGGGCCCTGCTCCCGGACACACAGCGGTTGAAGTGGTCGGATGCTGGGGGCCACCGCCCTTCCCCCGTCCCCCCCTTCCCCCCGTCCCCTTCCCCCGTTCCCCCTTCCCCCGTCCCATTCCCCCGCTCCCCCGTGTCCCCTCCCCCCCCGTTTTCGGGCGGGGCTGGGACGAGGATAGATCCGCTTCAGAGCGTTCGGGGACGCTCTCAGAGCGTTCTCAGAGCGTTCCGGGACGCTCTCAGAAGGCCGCGGCGCCCGAAGCATCCTCCAGAGCCGCCAGATCTCAGAGATTCTCGATTTATCCTCGCCCGAATTTACCCTCGTCCTGGCTTCGTCTAAGAATTCCCCGCTTCCCCCGTTCCTGCTACCTCTGCCCCCGTCCCCTTCCCTTCTTCCCGCTCTCATTCGAGCGGTGCAGGGGCCAGTCGAGAGCCTCGGGGGGGGGTTCAGAGTGAGGAGGCGAAGGAGGAATGGGAGGCACCTATCAGAGTACGAAGCCTAGGGCCACCACGAGGGTGCGAAGTGAGTCGCGCTTCACGCTTCGCGGTCTGGGCGATTTCAGAGCGAGGCGCGAGTCCCTCATCCTGTTCCCGGGGGCGTGGCGGCACGAAAGTGCAAAGATAATCGCGCTTCGCGGAGCGCGAAGCGCGAAGATAGCTGCCCTAGCACTTATGCCATTCCGCCGACCTCCAGACGAGTGAGGATACGTGCGACTTCCGCTTCTTGCGTTTGTCATTTGCCGGCTCCCGTCAAGCTTCTTTCTTGTAACCGTTGTCGATATTCTTCCGCGCTTTCTGCGGCGAATCCCGAGGGCCTCCTTGAGGTCTCGGTGACTGCCTCGTGCGAGCCTTTTCGGAGCTCCTGGGGGCGAGAAGTCACACTTCGGCCACATTTGGGCGACCTTCGGCTACACTTGCGCTACGCCAGAGAGCGAGAAGCCACACTTCGGCAACATTTGGGCGACCTTCAAATTTCAGCACGGACCGGATTTGCACGAAATGGACCTTCTGTTTGCTTTCCTTTTGCACCCTCCCCCTTCCGCGTCTTCCTGGTTCTCGTCCGACGACGACGACGACGACGACGACGACGACGACGACGACGGCGACGGCGGCGGCGGCGGCGGCGGCGGCGGCGGCTTCGCTCCGGCGCAGGGCGAGCCGGCCCCGCGCCCGCAGGCGACAGCGGGAGGGACGTCTTCATTCCCGTGGGCGCCGCGCGGAACCAGAACCTGGTGGCGCCCCGTCCTTCCTCCCCCCCCCTCCCTCCCTGACCTCCCTCCCCCTTTCCCTTCGTCCTCTCGCCTTCCCTGCCTCCATCCGAGGGAAGGGAGGAGGGCCCCTTGAGCGAGGTTGGAAGTTCAGGAGCAGGCCCCTTGAGCCAAAATGGCTTGAGCCAAAATGGCTACGGTTTCTCCTCCTCCTCCTCGCCCTGCTTCCTTCCTCCTCGTCCCCCCAGCCGTGCCTCGCCAGGTCCCCCTGACGCCTGGGGGCCTCATGCACGGGACCCGGGTGAACTACAGGTCCATACTGCTGAAGGATATGCTTGGAGCCGTCTGGTGATCTGAGGTGGCCCAGCACTGGTTGTGGTCAGCATCGGCGGCGAGCGAGGGGGGGAAATGAGAAGGAGAATGCCTTCTCGGAAGGCGGCGGTGCTTCTAGGTGTTCTGTGTCTTCGGGGAAGGCTTAGAAAACTTCTCAGCAGGTCGGGGGGGTTCCGAGCCTTCTGAGAAGGTCCGCCCTCTCGCTTCCCCCTGGGTTCGCCGCCGACAGCACGAAGGGCGGGGAGGTTCGAGGTTCTGGTTTCGGGAAGATGCTTGTGCCTTTTTCGGCCTCGGGGGGGCGCTATCGAGCCCCAGGACTGGAGAACGGATCCGGGGTGAACGGTGAACAGTGAACAATTGCCCCAGATGGACCCCCAGAGGGGTCCGGGGACCGATGTTGAGGGAGTTTGGCCTCATCCCCCTCCCCTGACCGACTTCTCTGGGGTCCCAACCAGCTCAGACCCCCCGGCCGCCTCCAAGGAGACGCGCGCTTTGCCGCGGCGGCGGCACGGCGACCGACGACGTCGGCGATGATGGCGAGGCGGTTCTGGGTTTTCGGACGTTTCCGAGGTTCGAGGTTCTCCCAGGATGAGGAGGAAGAAGAGGAGGAGGAGGAGGAGGAAGAACAGCAGGACGAAGAAGAGGAGAAGGTGGAGGAGGATGACGAGGAAGACGAGGAGGACGAGGACGACGAGGAGGAAGAGGACGAGGGGGAGGAGGAGGAGGAGGAGGAGGAGGAGGAGGAGGAGGAGGAGGAGGAGGAGGAGGAGGAGGAGGAGGAGGAGGAGGAGGAGGAGGAGGAGGAGGAGGAGGAGGAGGAGGGAGGAGGAGGAAGGGGGAGGAGCAGGAGGAGGAGGAGGAGGGAGACGAGGAGGAAGACGAGGTTGAGGAGGATGAGGAGGACTTATAGCAATAACAATCATATAATTTTATTCATAATGACAGTATGTATAATCATAAGAATACGAATAATAGTACTACTACTCATAGCACCAGCAATCACGTACCTACGAATGGTACGAACGATACGAATAATACTAACACACATACAAATACTAATACTCATGCGAATATTAAGCCAATACATAATACTACTGCTACAACGTATAACGAAGACTTCGACGAGTGATAACAACGAATGGTAGCAATACTAATACTATGTATATTTGTAGTTGTATTGCTTATACTAACGCTAGTACTAACAATAGTAGCACGCATGCTAATGCTAATACTGATCGGAGTTATAGTAGTACTACTACTCATATTAACCTGAGTAATCAGTGTACGAATACTATTAATACTATTACGAACAACAATATACGAATACAATAAACGCAAGACGAGGAGGAGGAGGAGGAGGAGGAGGAGGAGGGGGAGGAGGAGGAGGAGGAGGAGGAGGAGGAGGAGGAGGAAGAGGGGGAGGAGGAGGGAGGGGGAGGAGGAAGAGGAGGAGGGAAGCCTCGTGCCTCCCTTTTCCTCCTCCTCCCCCGAGGCAAATTTTCTGAGGCCACTCGAGGCCTTCCTTTGAAAGGTCTCTTCGGGAGTCGCTTTCGGGCCTGTTGAGGGATTCTTGGGCTTCGTGGGCGCCTCGAGGGCGCCTGCTGGCGTTTTCGGACGTCCTCTTGGGCTGGTGAGCTTGAAGCGGCAGATCGTGCTCCCCCGTTTCAGTTCCTTTTTGGTCCCTCCAAGGGCCTACTTGGATTGTCTGGTGGTCCTCTTGGGCCGTGTTGGGCCTTCTTGGCTTGGGGCCGTCTTGGGGCCGTCTTGGGACACTCTTAGGGTTTTTTTGGGCCGTCTTGGCGTTATTTGGGAGACTTCCGGTTTGGATCATCGGAAGGCCGAAAAGGCGAGAATACCGAAATCCCATAGAAATTGCGGACAACATGTGTTGTTGTGCTCTCCGGGCCTTGTTGGACGTGCTCTTGGAGTTCTATTGGGACGTGTTGGGGCGCATTGATTCGTCTTGAGACGATCACGCGCGACATAAAATTTTTCCTGAACCGTGTTAGGTCTCACGTCGGTTTGTGAAACTTCTGGGAACCCCCGAGCCGCCATGGAGAGTCGCGTCCCCCGCCCCAGCGCCCTGGCAGGAGCCTGGCGGCCCCCTGGGGAGTTCACCCAGCGGTGGTGCCGGGCCAGGTGTGTGTGGCCCGCACTGTCCACCCAGGCAGCGCGCGGCCTCACGGCCTTTGCCACAGTGTTGCTGCAGACACGTCACTGGGCAGCTCCGGGCGTGCTTCAGCCACCCTGGCCCGCCGACCGAGGCAGCGCGCAGACGTCCGCAGCAGCACAGAGCGCGGGGCGCCTGCCTACCGCCCGCGGGCGCTGGCCCCCGCGCTGCCGCCCCGCGTGCGGGGATCTTCCTACAGGCGGTGCGTTCCTCCTCGCCCTCTCTCCTCCCCCGCCGTTCTTGTTCCCCCCTCCCTCCGCGCGCCGCCATGGCGCTCGCGAGGCTGCCGCAGCTCGCAGCCTCCCCACGTGAATAAGCACCTGGGCTTGGTCTGGCCGCCTGCTTCCCTCCATGGGCTTAGCATTTTGCTGGTTGCAGTCTCAGCCTAGACTTCTCACGAACTTGCCGTGCCTTGTCACGTGCAATTCACCTGGGCGGCCTGCGGCCCTCTTTCTGTCGTCCAAGTACCTCGCCTACTGCATCAGCAGCGTCACTGTAGTATGTGGCCTTCCGCCATGGAAGGGCGAGCTCTTAGAGTTGCAGTCTGCGTGTCAAACCTTTCAGATGTTTGGGCTGTGGACGCGTATTGCTTAAAAACTATCAAGTCTCATGCTACTCTTTCTCCGCCTCCTCCGCCTCCTACTCCATCGTCGCTGCTCTGCCCGCTTCTGCGTCGCGCCACCCGCCGCCCAGCCGTCCGCCCCACCCCGCCCTCCGCCTCCTCCTCCTCCACTTTCCTCCTCCTCCTCCTCCTCCTCCTCCTCCTGCTCCTGGTTCTCCTTCTCCTCCTCGTCCTCCTCCTCCCTCCTCCTCCTGCTCCTCCTCCTCCTGCTCCTCCTCTTCATCATCATCATCACCATCATCATCATCATCATCATCATCATCATCATCATCATCATCATCATCATCATCATCATCATCATCATCATCATCATCATCATCATCATCATCATCATCAACATCAGCATCATCATCATCATCATCATCATCATCATCCACCTCCTCCTCCTGCTCCTCCCCCTCCTGCTCCTCCTTCTCCTTCTGCTGCTCCTCCTCTTCTTCCTTCTCCTTTTGCTCCTCCTCCTCCTCCTCCACCACCTTCTCCTCCTCCTCCTCCTCCTGCTCCTCCTCCTGCTGCTCCTCCTCTTCCTTAGGGATCATGAGGGAAGGGGGATCCTTAGGTTCTCGAAGAGGAAAGGCGACTAGAGACAGCGGCAGTTGGCCTTCGGGCCCCCCCCCCCCGCGTCGCCAAGTCTGGGCGCAGCGCAGGAAACCGGCGCGGTTGGACCCCCCGGAGGGCTTCTGGAGGCTCCGCGTTTACAATTTGTTGCCGGCGCTTGTTGCAGCAGCCCGTGATGTGCAGATTGCGTAGCGTTTTTGGGCTGTGCCACTCCGTTTCGCCTCCTCCCGTGGTCCTCGATGGCCCGACTAGTTTTCGCGGCGAATCTTTCTCTGAGCGGGCGACAACGGTGCAACAGATGCTGTCTCCGCCGCCGCGAATGCCTGTCCCAGGGCGGCTGGAACGTTTGTCCCCCCTACCGTGCCACCGTCGGGGGATGACAACTTTCCAGCCGCCCTGGGGCAGGCGCCCCCGACAACGGAACAGCCTTCGTTCGGACCGAAATATACGATCGACGTCGGTTCGGGGAGGGTGCCCTGATGATCTTCGTGCTTGTTGGATGTTCTTTTGCATTCTGGGGGAGGGCACCCGCGAGTGATCTTATGGTCTGGGGCGTTTAGCCGGCGGAGGGTCTCATGTTCTTGATGGGGAGCTTTGGGACGGGGGTCAATTCAAACGGGGGTCAGGCAGAGCGCCGGATCTTGCAGGATTCTGCAGAACCAGGGGCGTTCTGACCTGCGTTTGGGTGCATTGCAGGAGCCTGCAACGCCTGATTGACCCGGGTCTGGATTGACCCGGGCCAACAGATTTCCGACCATAATGATGTTTTTTTGTCCCAGGTCCAGCCATACAGTGGAGACCCATGCCAAGAAACACTTTGCTTGCCTCCAGGGTGCCCTGGGTTTCTTGGGCGTCGGTAGTTTTGCTATGGAAAGCGTGACGCTCCCACACCAAAAGTCGATGGACGTCATGGGGTCTCAGGGTTGGGTTTCCTGTGGAAGGTTTCTTGTGGTCGGGCCCCCACCGTATTCGATTATGATGGGCTTGCTTTCCGCCACCACCATAAGTTGGAGGGGGAGAAGGTCCTCCTCCTCCTCCTCCTCCTCCTCCTCCTCCACCTCCTCCTCCTCCTCCTCTCCGTCCTCCTCCTCCTCCTCCTCCTCCTCCTTCTCCTCCTCCTCCTCCTCCTCCTCCTCCTCCTCCTCCTCCTCCTCCTTCCCCCCTCCCAACTGATGCGGGTGGTGGTGGACAGCAGGCCCATCCGATTCCGCTAATCGTCCGCCGATCCGATGGCTCTCCGCAGCAACTGCGGGGGCTGAGGCCGAGCTGCCCTGGCCCGCGGCTCGGCCCCGTGCCGCCCGTCGGGGGGCAGGACCCCGACGAGCGCCTGCGCGCCTCGCAGGAGGCCTGCACGGAGGCGCGCGGCCCCCACCGGCAGGGGGGGGCGGGCGGCGAGCGACCAGGGGGGGGGGGGGCAAGCTAGGAGCGCTCGCGTCGTATCTGACGTCCTACCCTCCCTCCCATCCCGTACCATGGCGTAAATCTCCTTTCTATTCGCACCATCTCAGGCGATCGCAAACATGGATTAGGGGGGCGTGGATTAGTGACGGGTCCCGTTTCCATCGGAAATCGCGGATTTCCGCCGCCGAGCGAGGCGGCACCGGCCGCATTTTGGGGAGGGCGCCTCCCCCGATCCATGGATTTGGCGACCGCGCGCCTAATCCATGGATCGCTAATCCATGTTTGCGCGTCCCCGACAATCGGATGTCGTAGCATGGCGTAGCATTACATGGCATAGCATGGTGGTGAAGAGCAAAGCGCAGCATGACATAGCATCCGGTGGCGACGCCCCAAAGTAGGGGGCTTTCTGCGGCCCCAAAAATCAACGAATCGACACCAGATGTGAAATCACTTCCGATGGTTTTTCGGGAGGCAAATTTTGAGATTTTGGAACCTATTTGGAAGGACCGAAAACCATGCCGTGGCATGGCACTGGAAATAATGACGCCAGCGCTGTAGCGGGAGCACGATTCGGGACGAGCGGAAGCGCAGAAATGAGGTCAGCGCTGCAGGAACACGATTCGGAACGAGCAGAAGCGCGGAAATGAGGCCACCGCTGCAGCGGGAGCACGATTCAGAATGAGCGAAAGTCCGAAAATGAGGTCAGCGCTCCAGCGGGAGCCATATTTTGAAAACGAACCCAAGCGAAAGCTTGTAAGAAAGCAGTACGCGGAGGTGGGCCGGATATTTTCTGGACGTCGTCCGGGGAGATAGAGGAGAACAGAAGTCATTTTGTATAATTGTGAAGTGAGAGGGAGAAGGTCTTCTCAGAAGGCCGTGGGACGTCTCAGAAGCCATCGTGCCTTTGAGAAGTTTTCTGCGTCTTCGGAGAAGGCTTAGAAAACTTCTCAGAAGGCCGGGGGATTTCCGAGCCTTCTGCCTTCTGAGATGGCCCGGCCTTTCTCGCTTCTCTTCCGGGCTCGCTGCCGAGGAGGAGGAGGAGGAGGAGGAGGAGGAGGAGGAGGAGGAGGAGGAGGAGTAGGAGCAGGAGGAGGAGGAGAGGAGAGGAGGAGGAGGAGCAGGAGGAGGGGAGGAGGAGGAGGAGGAGGAGGAGGGAGGAGGGAGTAGGAGGTAGGAGGAGGAGGAGGAGGAGGAGGAGGAGGAGAGGAGGGGTAGGAGGAGGAGGAGGAGGGAGGAGGAGGAGGAGGAGAGGAGGAGGAGGGGGAGGAGGGGCAGGAGCGGAGGAGGAGGAGGTCCGTAGCCAATTTTTGGCTCAAGCCAGTTTGGCTCGAGTAATCCACTTCTCGAGGTGGCTTACAGTGAGCCTGCGAGCGTGGGCAAGAGTTCACGCCAGGTTCGACTCGGGCCTGGTGGCCCACAAAGTCAGAGGCCACTCGGCGATTCATGATGTGTGGGCGGGGCGGACGACGGAGTGGGAGCGGGCGGGTAACTGTTTGGCGGACAAGTTCGCCCGCCGCGGAGCAGCCTGTCACCCCTCCACCGCGTCGGCCCACGCGGACATTCAAGCCCTGGACCTCACGGTCCAAGAGGCGGCCCGCTGGGCCGCGCAGCAGGAGGTGAGGCTGGCCGAGTCCTCGGCCCAGGACGCCGACGTCCTCCCACGGGCGGGGGCGGGGGAGGAGGTGGGGACCCGCCTTCGTCCTTCGGATTCGGCTCCCCCGCCCCTGCCTTGCGCTCTTGTTTCGGGAGGGCGCGGCCGCTTCAAGCCCCAGAGCCCTCAGGCCTGCGGCTCTCGAGACGATCCCGAGTGGTCGCTGCTGCTGCAGCTCCTCGGGCACCGTCTGCGCGCGGCCGCCGTCTCCGACCCCCACGGGGCCACCGTTCTCTCGGGGCCCACTGCCCTCGTCCGCATCTCCTGCGGGGGTTCTGCGCGGGGGGGGGTCGCCTCGCTGGCGCGCCCGCGTGGGGGCAGGCCGCCCACCAGGCACACGGGGCGGCAGCTGGCGAGGGCGTGGATGGGGACTTTCCCCCTCGTGGGCCCCCCCCCCGGCATGGTGGCTGGCGGCTCGGGCCCTTGCGGGAGCCCTCTTCGGGTGACCTCCTGGCCTTGGTGGCCCCTCGTGTGCTTGGTGGCGTGCGGGCCTCGCCTGGGGCCCAGGCGCCCGTCTGGGGGGGCTCGGTGGTCCCGTGGGGAGGTTATTCGGAGGTTCGGAGTCTCCTCGGACCAGCTCGAATTGTGGAAGGTGCGGGACGGGGACTCGTGCCCTCCTGCGGAGGAAGAGGACGAGGGTCCCGCCCTTCGTCGAGCTGGCTAAGTGGTTTTGTGTTTAGGCGTGGCAGGCACCGCCCCACGTCCTAAACTAGAATGGAATAGAGGAGGAGGAGGAGGAGGAGGAGGAGGAGGAGGAGGAGGAGGAGGAGGAGGAGGAGAGAGGCGGCGGACGAGGAGAGGAGAGGGGGAGAGGAGAGGGAGGAGCGGAGAGGAGAGGAGGGAGGGAGGAGGGAGGAGGAGGAGGAGGAGGAGGAGGAGGAGGAGGAGGAGGAGGGGGAGGAGGGGGAGGAGGGGGAGGAGGAGGGGCGGCTGAGGAGGATGAGGAGGAGGAGGAAGGAGGAGGAGGAGGAGGAGGAGGAGGGGGGGGGGAGGGGGAGGGGGAGGGGGAGGAGGAGGAGGAGGCGGCGGAGGAGGGAGGAGGAGGAGGAGGAGGAGGAGAGGGGCAGGAGGAGGATGAGGAGGAGGACGGAGGAGGAGGGGAGGAGAGTAGGAGTGGGAGGAGAGGAGGAGGTAGGAGGGGGGGAGGAGGAGGAAGCGGAGGAGGAGGGGAGGAGGAGGAGGAGGGAGGAGGGAGGAGGCAGGAGCAGGAGGAGGAGGAGGGGCAGGAGGAGGAGGATGGGCAGGAGGAGGACGAGGAGGGGCAGGAGGAGGAGGAGGAGGAGGAGGAGGAGGAGGAGGAGTGGAAGGGGGAGGGGGAGGAGGAGGGAGGAAGGGGATATTATTAATATTAGTTTTAGTAATAGTAATACTATTGATAATAATACTAATAATACTAATACTGATAATAATAAAAATAATATTATTATTGTTATTAATAATATTAATACTAATGTTAATACTAGTAGTAGTAGTATTAATAATAATAATAATAGCACTACCAATAATAGTAATAATAATAATAATACTACTAATACTAATAAAAATAATAATAATAATAATATTAATAATAATAATAATACTAATAATAGTAATAGTAGTAATAATACTGATAATAATAAACTAAGGAGGAACGGTACCCATACCGCTACCTTTCCTTCGTTATTATTTTGGGCGGCTTGTTGGGAGGCCTTTGTCGCCACCGTTGGATTCGCCTCGAAATTCTGGTCAGAGCGCGCCGCGGGAAAGGTCCTGGCGTAGCGGTATCGGAACTTCGTGGTTGCCCCAGAAGAGGGCGAAGGGGCAGGAGGTGCAGGGCAAAGTCACGGCAGGGGCAACGTCGGGGGGGGGCTGGGGGGGCGTACGGTCAAGACGCTGAGATTCGGGTACGAAAGCGTGCACAGTAAAGATTTAGTGGGATTTCGGGCGTCGGCCACATCGATCCTTCATCCTGCCATTCCGTAGGCATCCTGTCTCGAGGATTCGATGCAGTCTCTGTTCGGAGTCCTCCTAGCCTCTCACCCTTGTCCAGAGGGACTCTCAGCCGCCGACGTGCTGGAGCGGTGGACGTGCGGCGCCCTGCGACGCGGAGTCCGTGCGCCTGTGCCCCTCGCGCCTGCTCCGAGCACTACCGAGGTGAGCTGCCAGGACGCGACGGCGGGGGAGCTGGGCTGCGGGGTGTGGGTTCTCTTGAGGGCTCGGGGTCCCGAGCAGCCGTGCTGATTGCGTTCGGTCTGGAGGAGGAGGAGCTCCCGAACGAGGACGCCTTGGGTGCGAGCCTCCTCGAGCGTGCTGCGGACGCCGAGGATTATGAAGAGGCCTCCGATTCGGGGCCTGACTAGGCCCCCCGAACTGGCGTCAGGCCGCTGTCTCATCTCATCGTCTCCTCCTCCTCCTCCTCCTCCTCCTCCTCCTCCTCTTCCTCCTCCTCCTCCTCCGGCTCCTGCTCCTCTTGCGCATGCTTCAGTCGGTGTCGCCTCATGCGCATGCTTCTGTCTCATCTCATCACCTTCTCCTCCTCCTGCTCCTGCTCCTGCTCCTCTTGCGCACGTGTCGTCAGAGCAGCGGCGAGCTTCAGTCGGCGTCGCGATAGGGAAGAATGGATGAGCGACCCGCACAGGGCGCGGGCGGACGAGTCCGATGCAGAGGTGCAGCCCCATCCGCTCGCTGCTCGTGCTGGTCCGCTCGTCTCCAGGGCCACTGCGTGGGCAGACCAGGACCTTGCCAGGTCCTCCTCCTCCTCCTCCTCCTCCTGCCCCTCCTCCTCCTCTCCTCCCTCCTCCTCCTCCCCTCCTCCTCCTCCTGCCCTCTCCTCCTCCTCCTCCTGCTCCTGCCCCTCCTCCTCCTCCTCCTCCTCCTCCTCCTCCTCCTCCTCCTCCTCCTCCTCTCGGCGGCGAGCCTGGAGGGGAAGTGAGAATGGGCGGGCCTTGTCAGAAGGCAGGCTCGGAAGTCCCCCGGCCTTCGGAGGAGTGTGCTAAGCCTTCCCCGAAGACACGGCAAACACTTTTCCGAGGGCCGGAGGCCTTTTGAGAAGCCCCTCCGCCTTCTGTGAGGGCCCTCTCCTCCTCACTTCTCCCCTCGTTCGCCGCCGAAGGAGCACCTGCAGGACGGGGCGGGAGGATCGGCGGCAGAGACGGGAGCGGAGGGCCGCAGGTGGTGCCCCTCGAGGGGGAGCCGCAGCCGGGGCTGGAGTGTGGAGTGGAGACGCGCATAGGCCCCCGGGCATACCCGCGCCCGACGACCACGACGAACACGACGACCACGACGAAGACGACGACGACGACGACGACGACAACGACGATGACGACGATGACGACGACGACGAGGCCGACGATGTCGACGACGACGACGATGACGACGAGGACGAGGACGAGTGATGTCGACGACGACGACGATGACGACGAGGACGAGCACGAGGACGAGGACGAGGACGACGACGAGGCCGACGACGACGACGACGAGGACGAGGACGAGGACGAGGACGAGGACGAGGATGGCAAGGCCGACGACAGCGGCGGCGCCGCGGCGGCGGCGCCCGCCTTCCGCGCGCACGCGGTGCGGCGGCGGGCAGCCCCGTGCTCCGGGGGCGGCCAGGGCCCCGACGTCGGGCCGAGGCTCCCCTCGCGTTTTCTTATTCGTCAAGAGCTCTCACGAGGGCGCGAAGTTATTCGCGCTTCGCGGCCCTCGCTCCTGCTCCCCCTCCTCCTCGTCCTCCTTTTCTCCCTTTGGGGGGGCGGCGCGAGAGCGCGAAGTTCTTCGTGCGTCGCGGAACGCGAAGCTCGGAGTTGGGAGCCCTAGATTCATCGTTTTGCCGATCGGCGCTGGCACTCGCACCCCCCCACCCATGGAGTAGATCTTGGCTGTTTCTTGGCACCTGTTCCAAGCAGGCGGAGTAGGTACGGGGCCCCCGCCCCCCCCTGGTGGACTAAGCCCTGTTTCAAAATCGTCGCGCTAAGCAGATGTTCAGAGCCAGACGCCCCCCCGTCCCCCCCAGAGAGCTTTCCTGGGGATGCCCGGATCGCCTCAAGCGGCCTTTGGAGGCCCGAGTTTCTTCCTAGATGAGGTCGGAGTAGATGGAGCCAGAGGTCATGCCGTATCGTCGATGCATCGGCGATGCGGCTCGATGTGGAGCCCGATATTCTCCACGCTGGCGTCGCCGATGCATCGCCGATGTCTCCGATGCATCGCCGACACATCGGCGATGCATTGGCGATGCGGCGCGATCCTTCAACCCCATCTACTCGGACCCCATCTAGGAGGCCTCTACAGTTATGGCCCGAAAGCCGCCGGGCGTCGGAGAGTGTGTGAGGACTGGGGGTGTATATCGTGGCCAAGGCCATGGTATCTTCCAGACCTCATGGCCGCCTCTTCTTCAAAACGTCTCTGGCTCCCCCTCGACCAGGCACACGCATCGGGCTATGATGCGCGCCCCCTCCTCTTCATGGCCCCCCTCATTGGACGCACCCGAGGATCGGAACGGGAAGAGATACCGATGCCTCTGCTCGTCCTGGAGAGCCCTGGGCGCCACGGCTGGATCATCTTCGACACGTTGGCCAGGAGTCGGAGGGCAGCCAGCTAAGACCAGGTCCGCGTTTGGCCTTTGGTGGGCCCTCGTCGCCACGGCGGAACCCAGCTGGGAAAACTACTGCGTCTTGACCCCAGGAGGGGGGTCAGGGGCCCGAGTTCGACGTGATTCGGGCCGTGCGGGAGCGCCGCCGTTGTCGCACCGCTCCTGCCTCAATTGGCTTTCCTGCGAGTTGGCCAGGAGGGGAGGGGCAGCAGGAGACGACATGCATCGGCGAAGACATCCTGGGCCTGCTGGATGGGGCCGGAGCAGATGGGGTCTGAGGGTCGCGCCGCATCGCCGATGCATCGGCGATGCGGCTCGATGTGGAGCCCGAGCTTCTCCACGGCGACGTCGCCGACGCATCGCCGATGCATTCGCGATGCGCGGCGATCTTCTGACCCCAGGTAGTCGGACCCCATCGAGGAGGCCTCCAGACGTATAGGCGAAACCGATGGTAAGGATGGGTGGCCTTCCCAAGGAGTGCCCTGGCATCCTTGCCTCTTTGGTCCATCCTCAACGCCTTTCGATGGCCCGCCGCGCTCGAAAGAGCTTCAACACCGGCGTCCAAGACGCTTGCATTCTTATCTCGGCGGCGAGCCCAGGGGGAAGTGAGAAGGGGCTGGCCTTCTCCGAAGGCTCGGAAGTCCCCCAGCCTTCTGAGAAGTGTTCTGCGCCTTCCCCGAAGACGCAGAACAACTTCTCATGTGACGCGAGGGCTTCTGAGAAGTCCCGCCGCCCTAAAGGTCTTCTCCTTCTCACTTCCCCCCTCGCCCGCTGCCGATTATCGCGCATCCTTACTATCAGTTTTGACAGTACACCGGCGAAGACATATTGGCATGCGTATCAACGTTCGGTGGTTGCTAAAAGTGCCCCTGGCCCAAGGTGCCCCCAGCTTTTCGTTCAATCTTGTTGCCCCTGGGGCCCTCTGGGCCTCGCGAGGGGTGCCCTGGGGGCCGTGGGGGCCTCCCGGGAGAACCCGGGGGGCACCCTGCGCCAGGGCCACTTCCAGCAACCCCCGAACCGTGCGGCGGCGCCTGCGGCCTGCCCCCGGCGCGCTCCGCGGGCCAGGGCGCGGGGCCCAGCGCTGGTCCAAAGGGAGCTCCGCGTGGGCCTCCGGAAGGCTCTGTCTGTGGCGGCACCCCCACATTGTTATATGACGTGTGCGTCGCCCCCCAATGGGGCGACGCGCGCACCGATAAATCTGATAGTATATGCGTCATGGAGGGCGTTTTCCGGCCACACCGCTCGGGAAGCGATATACTACTAGATGGGTATACTATATGTTCGGGTCGGACGCGCGCCTCCAAGGAGGACATATAGTATTAGTATGTCCCTGTGCGTCCCATGTCTGTGGCGTGTTTGCTCTTGGCCTATAGAAGGTCTGATGAGGAATAGGTGCGGATACGGTTGGACAGAGGTATAGTATCGAGGTCAGTTCGGAGAGGGCTCCCTGATGTTCTTTGTGCTTGTTGGATGTTCTTGTGCATCCTGAGGGAGGGTATCCTCGAGTGATCTTATGGTTCGGGGTGATTTGGCTGGTGGGGGGTCTCATGTTCTTGGAGAATGTTCTTTTGCCCTAGGTCCGACCGTACCCTTCCTCGCGTTCCCCTTTTTGGGCCTCCTGGGTGGCCCTCGTCGCCACCGCTAGATTAAACTCGAGATTCTGGTCAGAACGCATCCCAGGAGAGGTCAGGGGAGTAGCAGTGTTGGTATATTCTGATTGCCCCATGTCTTCTCCTGAACCTAGAGACCTAGAGCGAGCTTCTCGAAAAGGGGCAATCAGGCAGTACGTACCCTCATTTCCCCTCACTTCCTTGCTCCGGCGCGCGCGTCGGCATGAGGGAGGGTAATGTCCATTTTGATTCAGGCCTCTGAAGAGTCGGCGTGGCCGCCGAAAGCCACCCAGAGCGCCTCAAACAGACGAGCTATCCCACATCGCATATTTGAGATCGTCCATTGTCGTATTGGCGAGATCGGTATAAAGTCGCATCGGGACAGATCGGGAATCTCGGACGTGGCGGTTCTGAGGGATGCTTCGGGCGCTACGGCCCTGTCAGAGCGTTCCGGAACGCTCTGGAGCGATCTGTCCCCATTTTGGACGCGATTTAGAATTTCCCGACCCCCGGAGATGGCGTGGGCTAATTGGC